CTCCTTTTCCTTCCCTTCCCCTCATCGCACTGATTGACAGGAAATTGAGTGATTCACAAGGAGCCAGTGATGAGCAGTTGATATTCTGAAAAATCACTCAAATCGAGACAAAAAAAATGACACTTTCCTTTGCATAAACTAGATAAAATGTCCAATTTCCCTACAGAAAGGAAGAAACTTTTCGAGTAAATTATTCTGACTAGTTGCTGAAATTATTTGGCGGTGTTGAAGGAGAAGGGCAACTGAGTATTGAGCATTTCAGAAGCATGGCGCGAATGTGATTTCATCAAAGATTCAACCGAAACACGTCGATAGTTGCACACTATGCAAATGTGAAGTACACGAACTGACCGTCCAGAACCATTGTCATCCATGCGACGAAGTGATACCTGCAAGCTCGGTACTTTTTTTAAAATCTTTTAAAATAGTTTTATACTGTCAGGTAAACGCTTCAAGCCTCTAATATTTTACATTGTTAGAGGTTTGATTTTTTGATTTTGTTGTTTTTCTGAATTTAATGATATGTTTTGCATGTGTTCTCTGATTGTAAGTGAATTCACTGGATAATTTATTCGTTTACATTTATAAACGTGGCGGTTTGTTTTATAATGATCATAGCAATTGTCTGTCTAATCGACGCTTCAAGCTCTCAGATTAGAAGTGTTCAGAAATAAGTAGGAGAAAAGCGTTCATGAAGGAATATCTTCAAAGAATTGAATTTTTTTTCAGGAATCAGCGAAATTCTCCGGCAAAGTGAGTGACGACAGCGCGGACGAGATATCACTGGATGAATTATTCATGTTCTAGGTAGGCTAACGATAATGACAGGAATGTTGATGATGAGTTAATTCGCTTAAAATGATATTTACTTAATAATTCATTGAATAATACCTCTACTCGTTGAAGAGATCCCAAAATTTGAGGATTTCATCCAAAATTGTCAGATTTTAGCTTGAAACGTTTCTCTAATACCATCTGAACATGGATTTATTCATTCAGTATTTTTTCAAGTATGCTGTCTATGCAGTTACCGGTACCATACACCCTAGCTCCTAAAATAGATCATTTTATCGGAAAATTTTGAGCAATCCGTATTTCACTATGTTCTCAGTTAAGGAAATACGGTATATTGTTGGATCAATTCTATAAAATTTGTTCTTATTATAACTATAACAGTAACGATATATGTAATAACATTAGTGTGATAATAGGATAATTCTTCTGTTATATGTGCTTGTTTTATTGTATTATATAATACAATGCCTCTTAATCACTTACATTTGTATAACGATAATTCAGTTATATTGTGTGTTTGAATAAAAGTAATTTTTTTTGAGTTCATGTGTATTTGCATATGAATGATATCGCATGGAACAGAAAATGACACCTCCAAGGTGCTTAAAGTGCCCATTACCCAATAACATTCCCAAAATACTCAAAAATTGATAATTTCCCCATCCTATGGGGAAAGTACTCTGTATTATATGAATATTTACTCTTTTTACATGACTTACATTTTCACCATTCCACTTCGAACGTCATCCGTCTGAAGGCGCAGTTTTTATCGCGCGTGCGATTCCAGTTAATTGCTCCGACTCTCAGAATTCAGCAAAAAATTTGAACTATTCACGCCTACATACATAAAAGGGCAATTCAAAGAGCATTCCTGTGAATTCATTAGATCAACAGCAATATGACTGAATTGTGAACATGGTGTCTTTCATGTCTTCATTAATGATAGAATATATCATCTGCCTACGTGTGTTCGACTGTAGGAGGAATTCTTTGACGTATGATGTGTCATGCATATGCATGGCAATTGTTCTTCGTCATTTTGGAATTCACATGAAATGGAATTCGCATGATTAGTTCATTGGAAGACAATAAAAGGGAAACGAAACAGAGCTTGAGATAAAGACTTGCTATGGGCTAAAGCTAAATGTAAAAGCAAGGAGGTGATTCGAAAAGTTTTAGAACGATGTTGTATCTGCAGGGAATGACGCAGATGTAACATTTGAATGATAGCAGCAGCAGAAGTCAATCAAATCGGATGATGGTATTTGATGAAAATAGAACTGCACTGCACTGATTCATTGGAAAAGTATTTGTTTGTTTCTTATTGAATTGAAGAAGGAGATGGTATGGTTGGTGTTCGTATGCATCATGCACGAAAGCCTAACATAAGACTACAAATTGCATTGCCCCTTCACATGCGTTAAAGAATCATGCATGTGAATGAATCACCCACTCGCTGAAACGAAATTTCAACATAACATAACACAACACCTCAGTGACTCCTCATCATGCACATTTCATGCCCTCGCATGCATCCAATCCTCTCCGCTTTCAATACCTTCGCTCGTCGTTCATATCCATTAATATCTGGCTGCTTCACTTCCGACTGACTTTACGAATGAATTACTTTCATTTTGTATTGATTGAAGCAGATGGTAGGGCTAAGCTTATTTTATGCCTTTTACATCCTAAGAGTAGGACTGCTATAAGGTATCTATCTATCTGTCTAGTATGAGATATGATACGTAAGATATTGTTCGTTAGAAGTGGAATTATTCGATGCGCAGCGAGTATCAGGCAAGATGAGTGCAATAGGAAACGAATCATGAAATAGATAGATAAATAGATATAGTGCAGCTGAGATGTGTTATGAAATATGAACAATATATCATGGCAAATGAAGTAGTGACTAAAGGAAATAATTTGATATCCAAGNCAGCTGTTTGCTTAGATAACGTTGTTGTAAGTCATTTGCGATGGATATCATGCCGAACGCATTCACTGAGGCACGCATGGATTGTTCATTCACTGGATGTCATCTTCAGCATATTAATTCATCCAGTTATCCAGTTCTTCTCTCCTATTCAGTCATACATTCCTATGCTTACAGTTTGCCGATAGAATAGGAGTATAGTGAAATATTTGAAGTAGTATGATTGCCTAATTGACGAATAAGTCAATAAGAAGTTGATGTTTATTCTAGAATGGGTTAAATTCAAACCAGATGTGGTAATTGGGCAATGACGGGTTTAAACGGGATGAAATTCAGTGACAAATGAAAAATGGAAAAAAGATAGTGGATAAGGTTCATATAGATGGAACAACTGAGTGAGTAGTGATTTTGGGTCCTTACAAAATCTCTATATTCATTTGTGTATATATGAAAATCAAATAGATAAGGCTAAACATCCAGATGCTTCTAGTTTTAGCTAGTCTTTTAGAAATGTTCTCTAGATATACCTGAATTGGTTGATTCACCTCTAAATATATGATCTACTTTGCTAGTGCTTTAATCTCTTAAATCAATGAGCCTTCAGATCACCCCGAAAGCAGATGAAGTGTATGGATGGCTGTTTTTATGTGATTATTCAAATTTATTCTCTTGATGGTCTTGAGAAGTTTCCATATGATCATGTAAAAGCGCAAGTTTGTAAGTAGTGTTGCCAGCTGACAACTAACTGCATGAAGCGTTGAGTAATGATGCATTGAAGCCTTCCTTGCTCAAGACTAGATTCAACGCCCACTGAGGCTTCAGTGTGCTTGCTCATCGAACATGAAAGGAATCATGCATGAAAAGGACGGATGGAGGTTGCATGAAAGCTGGCAGCTGGCTATAATTGCGAATGAGTGAGTGATTATTCGATGGGCTGAGCGCTTAGTTTAGCTTTTCATATGACCACCATCAGAGGCTGTCAATAAATGTACATTTTCTACATACACGCATATAATACTGCTGCAGTTATACATTCATGCATATGTGTGCAGTTGAATATCTTTGCTTTATCCATCCATCCTTTCGTTTCGTCCATTTGCGTTTATCCGTCAACTTCAATCGGCATTTGTAAACGAATGGACTCGAATTTCGATCAATTTCGACATTTCGATATGTTATTCGTGTAAGCGAATGCATGAATATCTATCCATCCATCGAAAGAGAGTGTGTAGCAAGTTTCATTTGTAATGAGTTAGTGTTGTCCTTTTAGGTTGTGATCGCTTACTTCTACTGGTTTAGTGCAGTAACTTTGATATGTAAGAATTCAATGAATAACTCGAAAATCTGAATATCATTGAAAAGGAGCAAATCGGACTGTGCGGCTCCGGGCCTTTTTTGAGAATAACATGGATTAACATCTGAGTTGGACTTGAGAAGGATTTCTTCAAACTTCTTTAAGAGTATAGAGTCGTACTTGATCCAGAACATTGATTTGATCGATTCACTGACAATAGGCGATTGTTAATCGATGGATGCCTAGCAGGCGATTTGTTTGTGTGTGTGTGATTCGTATTGGAAGATGTAAATGTAATTGCTCATCTCCTAATGAAAACTATTTAGTTGTTGTTTTATCGTGTAATTCTGTAGCTTATGTGGAATCCGAATCAATTCATCTCTTACAGTGCTACTCTGAATCGACATAAGCATGTCAGTACCATAACAAGAACTGTAAAATTGAATCTGTGTGGTAGAAGAGAGAGGAAGAAACATGCCACTGCTTAGAGAGCGGCTGTTTCGTCTGAAAAGTGCGCCGACTGATCCGCTGGAGACTCGACTTCGACGATGCCTGACCACGACAGATATCACTCTGCTTGGAGTGGGTCATATGATTGGCGCAGGCATTTATGTCCTCACAGGTGAATACAATCCTTCTATCGTTCCGCTTATATGTCATAAATATTCTCCATGTTATATGTCATAAATTCTGCTATATGTCATAAAAATCCTTATATGTCGCAAATAAATACACAACAGTGTCATTAGTGAACAAATTCGGGAGAAATTCTACTTGTCAGTTGAATCGAGGCGATATCAGGTCTGTTGGGAATATAAGATTTTGAAATTTAGCATTGAAGGAGGCAGTTTTCGAAGAAAAAAAGCGCACTTTTCCAGTTGACTGATTCGATTTTTTGCTAACTATCAGTCAGAAAAATTTAATGAACCGTCAAATGCAAAGAAAGAATTAGACTCGCTTCATTGTATCATTGCGTGAAATGACGCAATTTTGTGGATGTTACAATTCTTTCGATAAGACAAAACGCGTAAGTGTCAATTAATTGCATTCCATCGCATGAAATGAATTAATGAATTGGCATGAGCAGTGTGCCATATGCAATAATTAATGAATCCCAAAACTCTCATCCGATCATACAAATACTGTCAAATTAGCACTAGTGTCAACATCGAATTCTCACACCATCCATCGAATCGTTATTTATTTATTTATCTGTCTAAATCCGTCACATTTCGCTCATTTTCGCTGATATCTCTAAGATGTTTCAGTAATC